TAACGGTTTTACTTTTAATATTATTAATTTGACTAAGTCTTAATTATTTTTTAAGTTTGTTTTTGCACATTAGTTTGTTAACTCTTCTTGTTTATTTTTTAAACGTAAACCCTTTTTGTTGCTGACATAGCAAATTTTACGCATAGTGATAGTTACTTTTTTTAACATTGTTAATTTTGAGATTTTGATTTAATTATATGTTGATTATATGTTTAGTTGTGAGTTGTTGTTAATGTTATTATTTTAGAGTTTTGAAATCAAGAGACTTTAAGAATCATGTTATCTCTAAAATAGTTGAGTTAGAGCTAAGTTGGTTCAATTTCATGACAAATATATAAAGTTATTTTTAAACATTAACTCTATGAGTTCATATTTTACAAAATTCTGAAGAGAAGTTATCTGAACCCAAAAATAAAAAAGGTTCAATTTTTTTAAAAGTTAAAAAAATAAAAGGAATGAAAGTAAAAAAGAAATGGAGAGGATCCATTTTTCACATGTGAACGGTACTTGTCAATTCCCGTCCAATATTGAAGAGAAAACCTCTTTCAATTGATTAAAAGAAATGTGAAGAGGATCCAACTTAAGTTTGAGTACGAGTTTTTCAACTTTAAAAGTCAAATTCAGGTATAAATTATATAAGTGTTAGTTATATATTATAAAGATATAATAATGTTAGTAATATATTTTTTAATATTTCTTAACACATATGATAATATTAGTTAAAATTTATTAAAATTAATAAATCAAGAGAGGAATTTAATAAATTATAAATAAAAATTTAAAAATTATAATTTATAAAAAGAGTCAATATTAAACTTATTAAAAAAAATACATGAAAAAGTTTCAGATGATTTTATGGTGATGATGGATGAACCAATGAGAGTAATTTATACCTATAAATACTTAAATGATTAAGGAGATGTTTGTTCCACAAGATGATAATATATTCCCGGAAATATGATTCTTAAAAATGATATAACCAAGAATATTATTTTTGAGAATAGTTAAAAATAAGTTTGGTTAGGTTTAAACATTTCTAGAAATATTTTAAAATTTAAAATAATTAAATTAAAAAAAATATAGTTAAGATGAAAGTTATAGTTGAATTAGACAATAACTTCTCATATTTCCATGGAAACATACCTTTTCCACCTTTTCACCATAAGAATCAAATGCCTAATTTTATCGAGAATAAACAATGTACTGAAATAAGATTTTAAAACTTGTAATATATTTCAAAATTCACATTCTCATAAATGGTGTTTTAATCTATGAAATAATAATCCTTAATGGGATGGTGAATCCAACAAAGTTTTCGTACTCGTTTGTACGCATTTTTTTATCATTTAAATAATGTTTCCACAATTTTTCCTTGTTTCCATGATTTTCACTTTTTTTTTACTTATTTATTATTCCATTTTCTTTAATATTTTCTTCTCACTAATTTGCATGGTTCTTTATTATGTATTTGAAATTTTCACTGTTTTTTTCTAGCTCATTTTTTTTTTTTTTTATATTCACAAAAAAGTTGTGTTTTAGTAATAATTTTGTTTAAATATAAGTCATTGATATTGGTGTTATATCTATATTTAGTAATGTTATTTTTATTTTTTAAAAAAATAGCTATACTATATTATTTTATGTAAAATAAAATGATCACTATTAACACATGGTAATGTTAGAGATTATATATCATCTAGTGAGATAAGATAATTATAATGGTATATATAAATTGAAAATAATGTTTACAATATGATTCAAATTTGCAATATTAAGTTAATCATAAATTCATTTTTTTTATATGATATTAGATTTTATCTTAAAAAATATTGTTGAATTTATCATGTTTATGATTAATAAGTAATTTTTGAATTATTAACAAATGGTTAATTTTACGAATTTTATATTTAAGATATCTGTACTTTATACTCAAGATGTCTTTCTTTAAGCATATAAGAAGTGTGATTGATATCTCATGCCAATTAAAATTGGAAATTATAAATTTTCAAATAAATGATATAATTTAATTATCGTTTAAAAAAGAGCTTGGTACGAAAATTAAAAATAAAAACATGAGATCCGGAACTTACGTTAACTTATCGAATTAGCTTCTTCTTGAATTGAAAAAATTTTACTTAACTCATTATTCAACTTGATTTTGGTATTTATATATGCAAGTGGAATACCTTTAAAAAAAAAGTGGGATGGATTATGGATATATAATGATTGTATTCTCTTCTAGTCATTCTAGATTATTGATGATTCTACATTTCTTAGTAACCTTCTTAAAAAATAAAATATTCATTTCTTTGTAGCCTACACAAACCTTTGTGATGGTGGGATATTTTATTGTAAATAAAAACATTAAGTGTTCTTACATGAGTATTTTAGTATTGTCTTTTTGAGAAAAAACATAACGTTATTATTATACGTATTAAAAATGTTTATTAATAAAGTGGTATTTTATTTTGTTTTAATTGAAAAAGAGTAATTATATATTTATAAATAAAAAATAAAACATGTAGACAGCACGTAAGTGATGTACTTTGAGAAGAGGGGACCCATTTGCGTGGGGAGTGTGATTTCAAAACCAGGCATGTGCAAGACTTAAATGTGACATGAATCATGAAATTGGACTTAAATTCTAGATGCATCATAGTTGAAATTTATTTTTCACACCTAAATGTACAATACCATTCTTATTTCTTAGATCCATCTTATCACCATGCCCTTTTTCAGACTTCACCTCATCTGACTGCTTTAATCACTTTTACTGTCTATCATACATGTAAGTTGCGCTACTTGTTACTGTTGTGTTGTTTGTTTAAAAGTGTACAATTTAGGAAATTATGTTTTGGCAGAAAGTAATCTTTTTAGATGACAGTGGCTTATATTTTTTACTTTATTTAAAACTGTACAATTTAGGAAATAATGTTTTGGCAGAAAGTAATCTTTTTAGATGACAATGGCTTATATTTTTTGCTTTATTTAGAAGTGTACATTTTAAGAAATAATGTTTTGGCATAAAGTATTCTTTTTAGATTACAATGGCTTATACTTTTGCTTTATTTAAAAGCGCACATTTTAGGAAATAATGTTTTGGCATAAAGTACTTTTTTTTTAATAACAATGACTTATATTTTTGCTTTATACTTTTGTTTATGAAGTATTTGACTAAAAATAGGACTTTCAAGTTTACCTAATATTTTGTTTGGATGGGAAAGAATGAAAAGGAATAAGAGAGAATTTGTGAGAATTAATTCGATAAAAAATAATAAAATTTGTAATTATTTGATAGAAAATAATTAAGTAATAAATAAAAGAAAAATAATATTTTAAATTTATTATATTCAACTATTATTTAATATAATGAAAAAAATAACAATGAATACAAATTTTATCTTTTTTTTAAATTTTGTGAATCTCTTTTATTATTAAGATTTTTTTTATGATGTCTATTTCTATTTATCTTCAAATCTTCACAAATTTTTCATTTTAAACATCTTAACTTTTTTTAACTTTACGCGAATTAACTATCTTTTATTCTAATCCACTCTAAATCATAACCTCTAAAATTGGTTAGGATTTTATTTTCTTACTTCTACTTTAAAACCATTTTAATATAAATATATTTGAATAATTATATTTTATATTTTAAATAAATAAAATAAATTGTGATATAAGTTGATATGTGTGACACGAACAAATTGTTATTTTTGTAAGGTTGTTGAATGTCATGTCGAAGTGTTATTGTTGTGTTGTTATGATGTAACCCATGAATTGCATGTTTTTGTGCTTACATGTTGGTATTTGTAGTATAATTATTTTACTTTTATACTTGTTATATATTTATTCTTTTAAATAATAACTTACTTTGAATGTTTCCTTGTGATTAGACTGCAATAATCATATTTATATAAGAGTAAGACAATGTTAAGTTGGAGGCGTCTGGAGAGTTGAGAACCATGCTTGATGGCGATGTAGCTTGATGTTACTTCTATATAGGTGTTGTAGAGATATTTAACCAATAACCTAAATTTACATTACAGTTATTTTTGTGATTATTGTATATGCATATATGTGTATAGGAGGTGTTGTAGTTTCACTATGAAATGATTACTCTTTTAGATGAATTCATCATTACATATATACTTATATTATTACTTGTAAAATTCAAGAACTGATTGTATGTCAATTATAGGTAATTATAACTTTATTTTTTCATTGTTAATAGTTAAACTGTTAAATATAAAAAACATGATGAGTCATTATATAAAAAATAATGATTTTTTTTATAACTATTGAAATTCATGAATTCAAAAAGTTTTTTTTTTAACTATTAAAATTCATGAATTCAAAAAGAAAAATAAATTAGTCGGAACATTATATATTTTTATTTTTATTATATTTTTACATCGAATAATTAAAAATAAAATAAAAGAATTAATTCAAACACCTAATAAGATGCTTAGCTTTTTTTATAGTGCAATTTCCAAAAGAAGCAATAACTTTATCTGTGAATTACGTAACCAGAAAAGGAAACATGTTATTAAAAAGTTAAAAGAAAAAAAAATAATGTAAACTAGTAAAATTAAGACAAAACTAAAATGAACAATTTGAGAATGGTTTCACATTTACTAACCCGAAGAATTTCATTGACTTTTTGGCTTGTTAATCACAAGCATTTCTGTAATAAATAAATATATATATATATATATA